CTACAAAAGCTTACACTAATGTTTTTCTTACTTCAAATACATTTTGATAAAATTACAAGTGACTCTGGACTTTTCCACTGTACTGCATGCTGCAGCTGAGGATAATGAGAGTTTTGCTGGCACCACTATCCCTTCATACATATTTAATTCAGAGACATATTACAAGAACAGGATGATGTAAGCTCTGAGAGTTCATCAGACACTGTACTCTACCGCTCCACCAGAAACAAGCTGTGGTCCCTTCTTTTTACAGCAGCTGGCTTGTTTATTGTCTTAATAGTTTTTCTTCCAGTTTAAAATGAGGACAGTGAAAGAAAGTGGAGGGGAGAGGAGGAAACCAGAGAAAAATAGGAAATGGGTGTTTGATTTTTTTGCACATTCATGTAACTTCTTTTATCTAAAAACAATAAAAACCTAAATCCTCGGCAAGACAAATCTGAAAAACAGTAAAACCAGATTTTAAAAATAGTTAGTTTTTTAGCTTATTTTCATGTGACAACCAAGTCATCAAATTAACTGCATTATAAACTTTTTAGTGTTTTCTAAGGTTCGTTAGTGGCCATCTTGACCCAGACTGGCTCCAAAAGATTGTCAATAAAAGAGTTGTGTCTAGTGATTCATTCCTGAAAGTTTCATTAAAATCCATCCAGTGGTTGATGATCCAGGTCCAGGTCAATATCTGCAAAACTGACTGAATTATACCCCAAAAGGTAATGAGTTATAGATGTGCACCCAATGATTACTTTCTGCAAGTTTCATTAAACTTGTCCAGTGGTTCATGAGACATTTTGGTAATAGTCATGCACACAGACACAGGAAAAACAGAATCCAATACATGGTAAAATGTCATTAATACAGCATAAAGTGATGCTGCCAGAATTGTAGCTGTTTTGCTTTTCTTTACTGTAGTTTTGAATCGTTTGCGCAGCTTTTATTTACACTCCAGCCTTCTGATTCCAAAATGTGTGCCAAGCTCCTTTACTCAGAAATTTAAAGGAGAGGCCATGTGAGCTTCAGACAAATTCTTTTGATTTGTTCATCTTCTTCCTGAACTGTAAAGCTGCTTTCACATCATCAGTCTCTTTGAGTCTCTGCCTCTCCAGTAACGTTACTGCTGTAATCATTTCAGACATCACTAACAAGAAAAAAACTCTTTGATGGCTTCTAAACAAAAAATAACAGTGTTAACATTTTACTTTTCTGGGTAATCTAACAGAGGTCTTTTTTTTTTTCTTTCAGATTTTGAGAATGCCTGTAATATGATGGATCTGTCAGCTGAGTTAGACCAGTTTAAATCAGTCTTTAAAACTTGGTGTTTGTTTACTGTAAGCTGAATGAGACAAAACCGCACAGTAAAATTTGACCTTTAAATGACAAGTCCTGCCATTTATTACAGAGACAGAACTGGGTTTTATAGCCTGTCAGAAGCTAGAGGTACTGAGAGCTCCTGCTGCTGGAAATGTTTCGGTCACAAAAACAAAATGAGTCTGTTCTGGGACTGAAAGAAAAAAAAAGCCAACAGACTATTTGGACTGAAGTTTAAACAGATAAAGTTTTTATTTCAACCTACACCTTATCAATACAGATGGTCTTGTAAGTTGCCCATATATATATGAGAGTTTCAGTCACGTCTTAATGTTTTTATCTTGTAGATTAAAATGATTCTGAATGCCTTTCCAAATGATTTTAAACTGAACCAGCCTCTAAAATGCAAAAACATGCTGCAGTGTTTGATAATGTATCTGTCTGTTAACAAAATATCACATGAACCACTAAATGAATTCTAAGGAAGCTCTCACAAAGCATTCATCAGACACAACTTATTAACTTTTAAAGACAACCCACTTCATTGTGGCTGCTACAACTAACAATATTAAACACTAAAATGACTATAACTCAGTCAATTTTAGAAATATTAACTTAAAACTTGGTGTTGCAGCGGCTTAGACTGATTCCCACATATCTTGCACGCTGACAGATTGTCAATTCATTGTTGAAAATACAGCCATTAACAGTTACTGAGCTCTGTCTGTTTGCAAAAATATCTAATAAGGGCTGACCCGTGGCATGGGCAGTATAGGCAAATGCTAAGGGTGCCATCCATCTACACTCTAAAAATGAAATGTTGGATTTACTTAACCATGTTATGTCACCTGGTTCCACTTAACTGAGTTGAGTAAATTCAAAGCAACATACTCATGTTCTTTGGTTAAAAAACTGGTATGTTGCTTTGAATTTACTCAACTCAGTTAAGTGGAACCAGGTAACATAACATGGTTAAGTAAATCCAACATTTCATTTTTTACAGTGTAGGGAGTGCCACAAATAGGAGATGAAAAAAAATGTTTTATACTTTTTTATCAGAATATTGTTGATTTAGTCTGTAGAATAATCACTGTTACTCAGGATTATGAAGGTAACGTGTTCTGTGTGTTTATTAACAGCTTTGTTACTACGTGACGTGTTGTATGGTGCAGAGGATATTTCATGATATGATGCAGTCAAAACTAATTGCTTGTGCTCAATGTGTTAACAGAAAACAAAATTAGAATAATGGAAGTTACACTTATTTTCCCAGTTAAAGTTCAGATTGTAGTCTGGTTTTCACTTTCTTCATAAAATACTGTTTTTGTGTTGTTTTGTTAATCCAAATAATTTAGTAAAATGCTTTTCAAACGGCTGGAAAATGCATAGTTTTGAGTAGATTTTTTTTTACAAAAAAGTTTTTTTTTCTCTGGGGGAGTATACCTCTGAACCCCCCTAGAACTGCTTCACTTCACAGCTGCTCATTAACATGTACAGATGTTGACAGGTACGAGGTAGATTTCTGGTATTCGGTTTCAAAAAACTTATATTGTTACCTATTTTAACTGGACAACCTGATTTCTAAAGACAAAAAAATAATATCAACTACTTAATTTGGTATGTGAAGATTTAGAAAGTGAGATTTAGAGAATTACGCAAGGGGCACCTGAAATCTGGGAGCCAAACGGTCTAGAGTCAGCCCTGCTTAAACCACTAGCTAGATTTTAATGAAAGATGGCCGCCACAGCCAAAAGAATGTTTGAAAACACCAAAGTTACAAATATCCCATCAATTTTTTTACAGCTACGCTAAGCATTGGTGTGGTTGTAGTTGGGAGTCATTCACAATGCGTACTCAAAGTGATACTCAGAATTCACAGGTGAGGTTGATCCAGTTTAAGACGACCACATTTAATCAACATTAGACAACCCAGAAATTGTTATACCTTAACAAAATAAGCTAAAATTTAATGCGTAGTAGCTGAGAGTCATTCAAAACATATGTACTGAGGATGACACCTCCCAATATTAACTTAAAACTGTTTCACATGACATACTACAGGAAATTACTTCATGATGTCATGTACAACATGATCACTAGAGGGCACCAGATACAAGTTTAATTTAGAAAATACTGTAGTGTTGCAGAGCAGCTAAATCCCTCCACCAAGTACCAATACTACAAAAAAAAAAAAAAAAAAAGAAGTGTTTAACTGAGACAGTATTCATTTTGGCTTTGCTGTCTTGCTTTAAAGTCACACATGACAAAATAACATTAGACTTGAAAATTACAAAATAAGTTTATTCATATAAACAGCTACAAAAAGTTCGAGAATCAAGGATTTTTTTAAACTCTAAATGAGACAAACTAGATGATGTGGTATTACAATGTTTTCACAATATCAAAACACAAGCAAACTGAGTCAAATGTGCTCCCTCCTTATGTAAGAGAGGGCAAAGATATCCTGAGATTTACAGTTTAGCTTTTTGTTTTTTTGTTTTTTTCGATTTGCAAGAATATTTCTAAGTGTGTGTTTTGACTTCCACACGTCCTCCCACACAAGAAAGCCCCAAATGGCCTCTTATTTACAAAAGATGTTGGAGCTGTGAAGACTGAGCACAACACTGCATAGATGATTCACTCGCGCCGTCAGAAGCGTGGAATATGTTTTATTTTAGGGTCCCCAGGGTGACTGACTCCTTCCCCTCAGAGGAGAAAGGAAGCGAGGAACGCTTTGCTGTGGGGTAGGAAGTGTACGGGGGTGTGGGATAGGTGTTGGATGGCAAACGCGGCAGGGTGGAAGTGGAGGAAGAGTGGCCCTGGGTCTGCCTCTCGGGAGGGCCGTAGGCCGGAGACGAGGACCTGCCTTTGCTGTGCAGGCTGCTGCTGCTGCTGCTCTGCAGGGGAGAGCTGGAGGTTTTGGGTCCACGAGTCAGAGACGACGTGGAGGAGCTGGAGAGAGGCGAGGTCCTCATGCCGTAACCCAGAATACCCGTACTCATCAGAAACTCCCTGGAGCCGTAGGCCGGAGGGGTTGGTCCACGTGACCCTGGAGGTCGAATGTTGTCTGGAGGTAAACTCCTCCTGCTGGGGATGTCGTAGATCCCCACATCGGGACCATAGAGAGCCTGGGCTCTGGCTTGGACGTGGAGCATCCGCTCCCTCTCCTCCAGCTCCCGTCTCTCATAGATGGAAGCCATGATGGTTTTGGAAAAGTTGTCATATCGAGCCGCAGCAGACTTGGGAAGCGTCATATCCTGTGGCATCAGATCCCGGAGGCTGTCTTGAAGACCTTGAGGAACCGTTTCTCTCTTCACCGCACCGGGAGGGGGGACGTCTCGCGACGTTACGCTTTGGGTTTGGAGGTCTCTTGGAATCAGCCCTTGAAAAGCAGGAGAAGAGTCTCTCTGAATGAAACCTTGATAAGATGGAGAGGGGTCCCTTGAAGGGAGACCCTGCAAAGACGGAGACGAGTCTCGAGGCTGAGGGGATTGTCTGGTGACTCCCATGAACACAGGACTGTAGCTGTGAGGGACCGGACGCTGCACCGCCCCGTCTGAGCCCAGAGACATGAAGTGGGGATGGTAGCCCAAGGACGGGGCCCCTCGTTGAGCCAAGAACTGAGGGTCTCCAGGGTTGATGAGATTATCGTAAGAGGGGCCGACGCTGCTGCTGCACTGGCTGGCCAGCAGACCGGAAGTGGAGATGATCCCCGCGACAGGATTAGACCCCAACCCATCAGTGTGCATCGCGAGCAGCTGGCATTTGCTGCCATGGCGTCCGCTGTGTTTTAACGTTAGCGAGCGGGAGTTGAGCGGCAGCGAGTTGAGCTGCAACGAGCTGCTGGAGACGGTGCAGGGCTGGAGGGAAGGCTGCACCGACAGACAGGCCTGGTGGCTGCCTCTCACAGGACTTCCTTTAGACTCCGAGAAGGAGTCAGGACCTTTGGCGCCGCCTTGCTGATCGGACGTCCTCAGCAACTGAGCATCACAACACAAAACAAACACAACTCATCAAACCATCAGAACAACTTCCACACCAAGCAGCAACCAGAGCCGAACAAAGAACCGACCTGCTCCGGAGGAATGGGTGACGATCCTCTGGAGATGGCCTCCAGTACCGGCCGCAGTTGCGGCACGGTGGGAATAGACACAGGAATGACGGATTTGGTGTGATGTCCCACATCTGAAAAGGAGGTCATCTTGTGATTAACAGCTGGCATTTTTAAACGTATAGAAAAATCTGCAAAAATATCTGACTTTGATAGAACTTAGCAAAGCTCTTTGAAGCTTTGACCAAAACCAGAACAGTTTGCTTTTGTTGTTGTTGCTACTTAATGTCTTATTACAGAAATATTATAATAAACAATTATCAGTTTTCTCAACATGATTCTTTGTTCTTCATCACTTTGTTTTCAACTTCCTGTTCCTGCAGACTCATGTGATTATGCTGTCAAATATATTTTTGCAGTGCTGAGACTAGTTATCAGAGGTTCTACTGTGCGTGTTTATATATATTTTACTGTACCATCCATGACAGCAACTTGGCTTCTCAGCAGACTGCGGTCTGGTTTCGGAGGCAGCGGCGGTGGAGTTCTCAGCTGTTTGATGTCTGACAGCTCCACAGCTCCCGTTGGGGATTGCTGGCAAAAAGAAGAAATAAAAAAATAAAATAAATAGAGGCACGATAGATCTTTACTTCTCGACAGCTGAGGTCACAGTCCCTTAGATGGTGTGAAAATATTTCAGCCTTCGTGCATACTTTATTTTGTAGCGCTACACTTTGGATTCCGTTGTCTCTGACTTTCGCCGCCATCTGTCGGTCGAGCTCCGGCCTCAGGAACGGAGGCCGAACGTGAACGGCTGTTTTCTTACGGGACCTTGCTGTGTAACTGGTTTCCGAGTACAGACAGATGAAAAAGTGTTAGTAACGCACAAAGCTGCCAACGGATGCAGAGCATGCAGAAAAAAATATATATTTATTTATTTTTACTTTGGTGAAATAGGACTGCAAACCAGATACTCCAAGTTGTTACAACAGCCTCGTGTAAACGGGTTTACTCCTCCTTGAAACTTCCCAGTCACCTATAAAAACATGTAGAGATGCACGGTGATGTTATGCAGTTGTACATATATTATCATTTAAAAAAACTGCATCAAATGCTATTCTATTTAATATTATAGCCATTGTTGTGTTTTTAAGCTCAGTTGGTTGTGGTGGCCATCTTGAATTGGATTGACTCCAAAATTTAATCAGCCATAGAAGTACATCCAATAAATATTTTCTGAAGGTGTCATTAAAACCTGCCCAGTGGGTTACTAGATAGTTTGTTAACAGACAGGCAGAGCCGAGACCAAATAACAGCTCATTTTTAAACCAAGATCTAATCTATTAGCGGTCGGAATATGTGTTAGGAATCAGTCTCAGCTGCTACTACATCAAATTATAGGTCAATATTTATAAAATTGTCGGAGTTACAGTCGTTTTGTGATTTTTTTTAAAAAAAAGCTTTGTTTTTTGGCAGCAGGCGATAATAAAGTGTTAAACATACGGTCAATGAGAATAGGTACTTTTTTTTTAAATCCGGCAAAGTTGTAATTTAAAAAGAAACGATTCTGTGCTGGGAGTCACTCACTTGTTCGTTGGTGGTGCGGCCTCTGGACACCAGATACAAGTGGAACCCAGTGAGGCCCAGGACGGGGATAAGAAACAACCCTGATATACTGATCACCACCAAGCTGGAAAGAACCAATAAGGAAAAAAAAAAGCTGTTTCCTAACCGAATCACGCTTTACAGATAAAAACCGCAGACAGGTTCTAAGGATACGTGACGAGGCAGTGCAGCTTCCACAAGTCCTCCATGTGGTGCAGGACGTACAGGAGGCCGAAGGTGAACACGCCGATCATGTGGACGGTGAGCGAGAGGAGGAACAGGAAGAAGTAGCGATAGTTTCGCCTCCCAATGCAGTTGTTCACCCACGGACAGTGATGGTCAAAATCCTGGAGGAAACAGAAAATCTGTCCGATTTAATCAAAAATGTCACAAATGGTTGAAAATCCACTTTGCTTCTAAATAGAGTTTACTGTCTGAAACCTTTTAAATTGACTCTCAATAGAGATAAAACAAAAATCTGAGAAAAAGGATTTGCCTGATTAATGCGATATTTCCCTCCATCAGTCATCCTCCAGAAATCTCTCAACTCTACAATCACTCATAAGCTCTTGCCCTTTTTTTCTCCCACACTTTCTAATTATTTTCACTAATCCTAATCACACATTTAGTTCCACACACTTCTTTTTAAAAAAAAAACAAAGAAACTTGTGATTATTTACCTCCACACAGTGGTCGCAGATGCTGCAGTGGGAGCAGCGCGGAGGTCTGTAGAAATGACATGACGCACACCACTTCATCCGCACCTGGACGCCCTTCACCTCCACGTTCTTGTACAGCGGAGCGCGGAACTCGTCGTCCTTATCTTCATCCTCTCCGGCTTCAAAAAAAGAAAAGCAGAAACAAATTTGAAGTCACGCTCGCAACTTTAAAGTAAACCGTTCAAGCCGAGGCGTGGCGTGACTTGTCGGGATGACTGACCCACAGGAAGCACCCCGGCATCCATAAACGTCGCCATGGTGAAGTTGGCGAGCACGAAAAAGAAGAGCATGGCACAGCATGGTGGCACAGCGGGGCAGAGGGTCAACGCCAGCCACGGGCATCTGAATGTACACACAAAGAAAAGAAACAAGAGCTCAAAGAAGAGGTTTTTATTGGTAAAAACACAAATCAAGGCGACAATAAAGACTTTAGAGGATCATCTCCATCTCATTTATTCTGATGGGAACAGTGGATCACAAAAGTAATTGTTTGCAGTGAGAGATAAGCTTGCATTAGTGTGTGTTCAGCAGTGCCCACAACAAGGGATTAAATAAAAGGAGTCTGAAGCTGTCTGGTGAATGTGGCATGATGAACTAAATGACTGAGTCCTGATCTGCAGTAATGACAGTGTTGATCCGGTTGGCTGTAGTGAATAATGAACTGAACTAAACTCTTGATTTGCAGGTCCATCTACATTCTAACCCTCATTGGATCATTGATTAAAAGAACAAGATATTGAATTTAAGTAGCAAACAGGAAGTTGGGAGCTCTGTAGGGTGTTGGGGCGAACGCCATCATCCGTTGAAGTAGAACTGCTCCCTCGCATTCAAAGGATTCAGATAAGGTGGTTCTCTGGCATCCCACTAACAGTAGTAACCAAAGTTGGGGTCAGGACCTACCTATGTATCCTAAAACACTAAGGTGGGGGTCTTGAAAAGATTTTCAGAATGAATTATATTTAAAAATGACTACTAACACCATTTTTTTTCTTTGTCTTGTTACAAGAGAGTGAGGTTAGTGTACTTACAATGGATGAAAGTGGCTTTATAAGGAATATTGTTACTATTTGACCTGATACTAATGTTTATCATCCAAAAATAGTTGGGGGCGCAGGTCTGTTACTGTGTTTTTTCTTTTTTTGGGTCAAACGCTGAAAAGTTTGGGAACCACTGCTCTAGAAGACCTCCCTCTGGAGGTTTTCTAGACACATCCCATTGGAAAGAGAACATGAAACTCACTGCAGAGATTATATATTCCCTCTGGCCTGGGAACACCTTGGTATCCCCCAGGATGTGTTGGAGAGTGTCACTGGGGAGAGGATAGACTGGACTTCCCTCCCTCTGTGACCCAATCACAGGTAATAAAACGGATGGATGGATGGATGGATGGATGGATGGATGGATGGATGGACAGACACTTTCAAACATTTAATCATGAAATGTTTCTCTACATGTCTTCCTGTTCATTTGCCCCCTCATCTCAGCACGTGCGTGCGGATGTGTTAAATTATAGTAAACCTGTGATTCTCAACAGTGTGAGATTAGAACTGGGGTCAAAAAAATCAGGTTACAGTCAGTCAGAAAAAAACCTGCTGGATTAAATCAGCAGTGTTTGTTTAATCTACTTTCTGTATGAGATTTTTTGTAAAATAGTACTCAGTTTGGAAGAAGCGACACACAGCAGAGTGTTGTGCACCTCTCAGAAGTGACTCAGAAATTATACCAAACTGATTGCTGTTGTCCTTTTTTAATGACGTCATTAGCTGCTAATTGGTGACATCGTCATGAGGAAGAAAAGAAGTGAAAACACTAAAAAGTGTCTGTTTGCACTTCAAAGTGCTTCAAACCAAATAGTGGGATTTGGAAACTGGAACCTGGTTTGGGTTCTAGTCCATGTGGGGGGAGGGGTCCCCAGGCCTCTCTAAAGGAGAACAGGCTGATGCCATGCCAGCTGCAAACCCAGTAATCCCTAGATTATAAACTTTGGATTACAGACCTTTTCTGCCAGTCCTGTGCATTGTGGATCCTTCATGCAGCCAGCATCTCACTGTATGCTCTGTGGCCATAAACAACCAATTTCTTGATAAAACGATTCCCTACAAAATAATCTTGAAGTGCAGAAGACTCTCCTTTAAAGATTTGGAAGCATAACACGATTTCTCCTTTATTCTTCATTTGCCTGAAATGCTTTATTCTGGATATGTGCTTTGATCTGATCAATGAGCTCCCACAAGAAACCCATCAATACAGGAGCAAAATTACATCGTTTTTAAGAATAAAACAAGTTAGACAATTGTTTTCTAACACAGTTCTCTGTTTTTGTACATCTAAAAATAGACGTGAACCAGATTACAGAGCGGGGCCAGCCTTCCACCACTGGTCTGAGACCATCTGGACCGCAGGGAGGGACGGTTCATTACGCGGAAGACAAGCCCCACCTAATGAAACAGCGCGGGGCAGATGTCTAATAAATCACACCGAAGAGTAAAGCTGCTCCGCAATCTGCACACCGGCCTCATCCCCCTCAGTGGGTCAGTGGCACAAGCAGACGCCACAATGCAAATCCTTACATAAGGCAGAGCGCTGCGAAATAAAAGGGTCCAATTTATCGAAACAGTGCTTGGAAAATAGGAGTGCACATTCCCTGCACTTTTATAATGTTTTTAGAGTTGCAAGTTTGTGCTAAAATTCAGAACAATAAGTTTGCTCAAATTCTTAAATGTTCTTGTTGATTTTTTATGAGCTAATTAAAAAATTACTAGACTCTAAATAGGTATAATTCTTTTGCAATAAAAAAACAAATCGCTGCTCATTTCAATCCACTCAGGAGCCTTCCAGCTTTGCATGCTTTGCTGTGACCATTAGCTAATGGAGGTAATAATAGTTAATGTTGGCCATCTCTAATGCAGGCTAACAGGACTTACTGAGCAATGCACAATTGTTAACCCCATATGCAGAGAACATATTAGCATTTTTCATCATGTAATTGCCATTTACTTGAATTTGTTTTTAGCTTTTGCCTTTCAGTATTACAGCTTCACCTGCAATATGTTCCATGGATTTCTCCAAAGCACATTTTCCTCCTAATCAACAGGGGGGAATTTTACTGTCCTTTTTCATGTTGTCCGAGTTGAACAATGCGCCGCACCTTATCGGCTGTTCTAAACAAAAGTTAACGTCAAAAGGAACAAAAGCAGGAAATAGCTCACTGATGGATTTTATCGGGCGGGGAAGGACAAAAGAGCCTCCTTTGCAGCTGAAGGTTGTTCTCTGACTTTCCCCAAACCTGCAGCATAAAAACAGACTTGAAGGCTTCACACTAATGTTCTTACAGATCTGCTGACTACAGCTGCATGGGAATTTTCAGACAAAAGGGCCGACGGCTTCTTCTTCTTCTTTCTTTTTGTAAAAAAATATCACAGCGGGGTTTATTTCTGCAGAAATTAAAACATGGTTTGAAGGGTAAAACTATGTAAATGTGCACATTCTTATGAATATTCGCACAGCGCTTTGCTATGCAGCTTCAGTGCTATCCGGTTGGGAGTCGTTTGGATGGTTGCATCCCTGTATAAGCTTTTAACACAAAACATGAATATGGCTTTGTTTAAATCAGAAAATGGTTTGTTATTAAAGCAATAAATCATTTTATGAAGTGGGGTTCTGTGAATAAAGTTGTGAACAGTTTTAAGTGTTGAAGGAAGCTTTTGAACCTCAGTGTAAAGAAATAATGTAATTCTGACTCAATACATGAGCTAACAGCTTATTGAGACGTCCTGCGTGTTTCAGCTGTTTCCCTGCTTCAGCACCCCTGATTCACATTATTTAATTACCTACTTAAAATGTCATCAAGTTGAGCAGAAGCTTGTCAATGACTTGTTTATTTCGGTCTGGTGCGTTGAAGAAGAGACAAGTAAAACTTGCAGATTAGTGGTGCTGAGAGGATCAGAGTTGGAGACCTCTGGCTTAGTGGGTCTAAGACTAAAAGGGTCTTCAAACCACTCCAGTCTCAAAGGTCTGAGATAAGATTTGTCTGCAAGCTGGGCTCTTACTTTGAGACAGAAAGAAGTTCCTCCACATCTGGAGGAGCCAGTTGAGGTGGTTCAAGCATCTGGTAAGAATGCTCCCTGGACGCCTCCCAATGAAGGTGCTTCAGGCATGTCCAACTGGGAGGAGACTTTGGGGACCAATGACACAATGGAGAGACTCTGTCTCCTGGTTGGCCTGGAATGATTTGGAATCCTCCCAGAAGCTGGTAGAGATGGCTGTGGAAAGAGATGTCTTGGCTCCTCTCAAGTCATGAAGGAAATTTTGTGACTGATTAACCGAATTTTAGATACAGTCTTGTATTTTAAACTTTGTGATCAATTATAGTCATTTGCTTTAAACAGGGAGAGAGCATTTTTCAGCATAATTCCATGTAATGCAACCTCTCTCTGCAGGATAAATGAGGACTTGTCAACATACCAATGTAAGTGCTGATGTAAAAGGTACCACCCCGGTGTGACCAGGGTGTCCTATTGTTGTTTAGATACACTTAGAAGTAGAGAGGCACACAGGGCTGCTGTTGAGAGGGCCTCATTTTGATTCTGATAAAACTCAGGGCCAAACAGACGTGCTGGGAGACAGAGGCTGTGCACAATGAAATGGAGTTACAGAGTTTTAGAGGAGAATCAACTTGGATTTCTGCGCAATTATTCTGGTTACCAAGTTTTGATAATGTTTTTCTTACAGTGACCTGACTTTGGAACAAAGTTGGATGGATGGATGGATGGATGGATGGATGAACAGACAGATGGATGGATGGATGGATGGATGGAAGGATGGAGAAAGGCCATTGAATGGATGGGTGGATGAATGGATGGATGGATGGATGGATGGATGGATGGATGGATGGATGGATGGATGGATGGAGAAAGGCCATTGAATGGATGGGTGGATGAATGAACAGATGGATGGATGGATGAATGAACAGATGGATGGATGGATGGATGGAGAAAGGCCATTGGATGGATGGATGGATGGATGGATGGATGGATGGATGGATGGATGGATGGATGGATGGGTGGATGAATGAACATACAGATGGATGGATGGATGATGGAAGGATGGAGAAAGGCCCTTTAATGGATGGATGGGTGGATGAATGAACAGACAGACAGACAGACGGACGGACAGACGGATGGAGAAAGGCCATTGGATGGATGGATGGATGGATGGATGGATGGATGGATGGGTGGATGAATGAACAGACAGATGGATAGATGGATGATGGAAGGATGGAGAAAGGCCATTTAATGGATTGATGGGTAGATGAATGAACAGACAGACAGACGGACGGACGGACAGACGGACGGACGGATGGAGAAAGGCCATTGGATGGATGGATGGGTAGATGAATGAACAGACAGATGGATGGATGGATGGATGGATGGATGGATGGAAGGACCATTGGATGGATGGATGGATGGATGCAGAGTTGTAAAGTAACTAAGTATAAATATTTCTTTACTGTACTTAAGTAAAATGTTTCTGTACTTGAGTAATTATTTTTCAGCCTACTTTTTACTTTCTATTCCTTACATTTAAAAAAAAGACAAGAAGTAGAAAGTTTTTACTTTAATTTCATTTTTCCTTGTTTTCATTCCAGCTTGTTATTGTATAAAAAATAAATATCCATATAAACTGTGCCTCCTAGATAGAGTGAATTTAATTGTGGTTGAATGAGAAGTGTAAATACTGTATATAAAATTCTGATACCGTATTAGTTTGTACACAAACAAATCATGTCACACTCCAGCAGGACATAATCATTAAAATAAAAGAAGTATTTGTATTTCATGAAATATATTATTGCATTTGGCCGCAGCTTTCAAATAGATTTTTTTTATTTTGGGGAAAAGGTTTGGGCAGCCTTGATATATGTATATAAACTGGAACAGCTAGACTAGTGCATCCTAAATTACGATATAGCCATTTCTGCATTTGTTTTGGAGGGAGGTCACCTCCTAATAAACGTCATTATGGAAAATCTAACTGTTCATTTTAAATCAATACTACCTTTTTTTGCTAGTTTATTCATTTCTTTAAAAACAACAACATAAAGTCAACAAACAACAAAAATACAAATCATAAATTTAGTGAAAGGTAGCAGAAGAAGATAAAATCTTATATCTGCCCCTTTATCTCAAATAAATAAATTCAATCAAAAATAATCTTTAGTTTATATAAAAAAGAAAAATACAAAGGTTTAATTCCTTGAACAATTCATACATTTACATATTTCTCCAGTAAATTATTTTTCATCATTAATACTTAAGTACAAAGAATATCAGATACTTTACGACTTTTACTCAAGTAATATTCCTAAAGAAGACTAACTTTTACCAAAGCAACTTTTTGGTAAGCTACTTGTACTTTGACTCAAGTATCACTTTGTGGTACTTTATACAACACTGGCTGGATGAATGAGTTGTTTTAAATAAGGAAACGATCTACTAGCCTCACTCTGATCATCTGTTGACTAATCATTCTGATCAGAAATAATGAAAATTTCTCTAAACTCAAGTGGTTCATAGAGCTACCCAAAACAGGTAAGATACTAACTGTGGACACCTTTTCAACAGAAACTCACTCCTAAAAATCTGAACTATTTCTTCACATCTTGAAAGAGAATATGTCTTAAGGAGAAAAAAAAAGACATTTTAATCTTGGTTTTGTTCAGACCTGTGTTATTCAAAAAAAAAGCTGCCACAAAGTCATTATTAGCTCGAACGCAAACGTCGTCTCGGGAGAAGCTGAATCATCACTTGTTCACTGGATCATTTGCAGCGTCCTGGTTTCTGCAGGTTTTAGTATTGGAGTTCCAATTAAGTCGTCTTTTTTTCCAGTCTCTCACATCAGCAGGTCATTGATTATTTTTACCCTCTCAAACAAATTGAGTTCATCAGAGAAGGGGCGGTCCTGAGTGGTATCTGGAACAAATCTGTCTTTAAATCTCAAACGTCTCCAAAAAAAAAAAACTGTCTCTTATAACAACCTGCAGACAAGACAAAATGCACAAACCTACAGCTCATATTAAGAACTTATTTTATTTTTATTTTAATCGTTTAAAGGTTTTGTGTAAACTCAAAAAACTACAGACTATTTTTTTCCAGATGGCCCCAGCCAGAAGATCCTAATCCCGCACCCCCACAATCTGGTGTCAGATTCCAGTGGAAACCGTGCACAGCTGGAGCATACTGGAGAAACTAGGACAGATACAGCTCCGGAGGTCGGCGGGGTCGAGCGGAGTGGCGTAAAACTGATGAGAAGGGAGCCATCAGTCAGAGAGGCAGATATCAGGAGGGCATGTTTGGTGTTGTTCTTTGTGTACGTGAACATGAGACACGTGAAATGCATCAGACAAAACGTTGGTTAGATTAGGTTCTCTGGGTATTAGCCAAAGTGATATTTAACTTGTTTTTTGGTATTTTGCTTTGCATGCTTGCAAAGACTCCAGCAGAGCTGGTTTAACCTCCCTTATTTACACCTTATAACTTCAATTAAACCTTAAAAAGCTTTTGTACAGCGTCCTGAGATGACTTGTTTTGAATTGGCACTAAACTGAAACAAATAAAAAAGGGCAAAAAAATGTAAGCTTCTGCACAAATAAAAACACAAATATGTTTTTAGAGCCTTTACTGATAGATTTTTTTTTTATTTCCTGCTGCGAAATGGTTTTGACATGTATTTTTACACAACACAAATAGTTTGCAGGTGGTTTATCCCCTTAACTGTGCGTACTCTGAGTCCTCAGAGTTTACCGGGCAGCCACCCAGATTACAGCCCAAATTACCCGCCAACCAGGCCAGATGTTAGCCAGCCCTGCATGGGATTGTGATCAAAGTAAAGTCGGCGAAGGAAGTCAACAAAATTTTTAAAGGCTGGTTTTCACAAATATATTATATTTTTAAAACTAATAATTAGATTGGTTGTCAATTAAAATTCAGAAAGAGCTGTCAAATGTTTTTTTTTTCTTTTGTATCCTGTTCATTTCCCTTTTAAATGGTGCCACATTTGTAAGGAACTTGTGTTTGTGAGATGAGCAGTAGGGCTGAGTATGTGGGTTGTAGTACACAGGTAAAATTTGTCAAATCTTCTCTGGCAAACTGCTTGTTTTGTTGTTTCTACAGACACTTGGTTCTGAGCTTCTGGTATCCCCCAGGTGCTGCCAATCAGGTGATGGCGTATTACTTATTGTCAAGAAGCATCGTTACAACAAAGAATTAATCTACCAAACACACATTTCCTTACTTTTGGTCTAACTATAGTTATATAGTTACACACGAAGTGTTAAAATTACGCAATAATGATCACAAATAAGCTCTTATAGTGACAACCAAGCTCTCTTTAGAGAAACTGTGAACCAGTCAAAGGAATTATTGTTAAAAACTAAAAAATCTGCCACACCTAGAATCAATTGCCCTAAATGTGGGGAAAATATGCCATCTAAAATAAACTAAAAAAGAAAGGAAGGATGATTGATATAGATTTAATTTCCATTCTCAATATAAATGTAACAATCAATCTGGTTTCAGATAAAACCTCATTTGTGTCCAGATCTGGACCGCGGACCACCGTTTGGGAACCTCTATGAACTAATAAAAAGTCAGTACTTGCTCATTTTGCCTACCAACAAAGTGAAGTTCTTGCATAGAAGGGTTTGAATAAAGAGGATAAACGCTGTTTTATGCCTCGGTATTCTTAATGTTTGAATAAAATAATATACAGGCTGCACGAGCTGATGAGCAGATGCGGCAGCGCACGTGAACACTTTCTGATCCCGGACTCACGTAAAGACGAAGAACATGGAGGTCGAGCCGACCAGGAGGCACACGGCCGTGCACACCGGGATGAAGGCGCTGGGCTTCAGCGAGTCGGAGCCGCCGGCGGGCATCCTGTCCTCCCCGGGCTCATCAGGGTCTCACGGCGAGAAGAGCCACGGCGAGACGTCCGGGGATAGCAGCTTGCACGAAAAGTAGCCCTACGTTCATTTTTATTTTATTTTATTTTATTTTTCCTTCAACGAGGTGCTGGGAAATAAATTCCCGGAAGTCTAAAAGATCCCCAGCAAAAGCAGCAGCATCCCGTCCGGTCCGGTCCGGTCCAACAGGCAGACAGCGCGAGCACATCTGCAGATGCTGTCTGTCTGTCCCAAAACAGACAGGTTGGACTCGTGAATGACGTGACTGAGACC